GCCGTAGCCATGTTACTAGAATTTCAATATTTTTGAAACTTTCTTATTTCCTAGTAACTTTTAGTAACTAGTAGTTTACACAAAGCGAATGTCTTATTAAATTCTATATACATTTAAAAGCAAACAACAATTAAAAATCTAATATGGATATTTTGTTTTAATTATTAATTAAAAGAGTTTACTTTTTAAGAATTGTCTTGGAACAGGTCTAGATATCATGGTGGAATTAGAAAGACCGGAGAAAAACGGACAAACAAAAAGTCAGCAATTGATTGAAAACAAAAGACAGTAGAAAACTTCATTGCTTTGTTTAGAAATAGGAAAAAACTTTATTGTATTTTCAATTATTTATAACTAATTTAATAATTAATTGATAAAACATGTAATTATAGATTTTAAATGTGCAATTAAGAGTACTTATTTATTTTTTTTGCTGTTCAGGTTGTATGCCAACTTTTCTGCGGTATTAAAAAAATATAAAATAAATACTCAAAAAAGAAAAAAAAGAAAATAATTGTGTTCATAATATCATAATGTAATACTTCTCTTCTTTTTAATGTAAAAAACGAAATTATTAGTTTTCTTTTTCACCTGTAAATGATTGAAATATATTTTTTTTATTATTTTATTCTAATTTTAATGATTGTAATTTATAGACAAGTGGTCTTAAAAAAATTCACGCACAACCTTATTAGCATAATTAATACTTATGCCTATAGAATATTTGGAAAGTTTTAGTTTTGAACTAATCAAACAATTAATCATTTATACTTGCCCCCTACTTTACATATTTAAAAAATTCTGATCACAAAATATTGCAGAAAGAAAATAAAATAATATAAAATAAAATACAAATACTTCGAATTCCAATATTACTCGTAAGCCAAATTTACTTACGCGTGCAGAATTAAAAGCCACCTATAAAATTAAACAATGCAAAAATAAATCGAATAGAAAAAGAATTGCTCTCTTTGCTATCGTTATCGATAAAGTAAATCTTTAAATATGAAAGCACTCGAAAGTATTTAATGAAAAACCCATTTAATATTGATTTTTAAATTATAAAAATTTAAAGATAAGAGAAGATAAGATAAACATTGTTTACACAAACAGTCATTTTTCATCGAATACCAAAGCTTCAATTGGATGATCCAATAAGTATAACACACAAAAAGGAAAAAACAAAAAAGAAAAAACGTAAGTCGTCTGATATCGAGTAAAATATTTATATGATTATTAAAATGTATATATAATTTGTGGGGGGGTGGTAGTGGGGAGGTGGGAGAAGGGAATTAAAAGGTAAAATAAAAAATAAAAAATATGAGAAGAATGTATTTTTAAAAATGAACAGAGAGAGAAATAGAAAAAACATTAGAGAGAGAGGGAGAGAGGGAGAAAAAGAGACACCCGGTATATAAAAGTTGGCTGGCCGTCTGGCGAGCCCCAGTGCACAAATGGGATAGGTAACTGATTCTCTCTGATCTAGTGGTGTAAGATCCCTCCTGGTGAGAAGGTGCCAAGCTCAGTAACAACGACGTCTACGTTTTTCTGAAATTTTATTCAATACAAAAAAAAAGAAAAAAAATAAACATAAAAAGAAAAAGAAAACCTAATCCCAAGAAGAAATACAATCAAACTGAAAACTCTAACTATTCTTCTCCCTTAAAAGGGTTCATCGTCATCATCATCATCATCATCATAACGTAATGCTAAGAAAACAGATAAATAAAGGAAAGATAAATTCGTAAGGGTTTGATTAAGGACAAGGAACAACAGGTGTTGAATGGTAAGTTTGTTTTGTTTTTTCCTATCATTTAAATCATTTCCTTACGAGAGATTCTTTATCGTGTAAAAAGTATTTCAGATGATCTGGTGTGTTGCATTTTTTTAAAGATATATATAATTATCAAATAAAATGATTAAATTTATCTTTTTTCCTTTATCTATTCATTTAAATCAGATTGTTGGGATTGTTAACCACCACCTGTTGCGTGTTGTATGTGTGTTTTAGTTTAATTTTTTTGTATTTTTTATTAAATGTATGAATCGTATAATTGAAGATGCAATAGTAAGTTATGTAAGTACATTTAATAACATATATTAATATGCAAAAGATAGATTTTCAATAATAATACTGTAGTAATAATTAAACTCTGCTAAGAGATAATATATGTTTGACACCAAAGCATCCACTCGAATAAGAAGAACGTGTCACAGTTCAGGAAGCACTGTATAATCACGTGTCGACATTAAAGTATATACAAACGCGTTAACGACCTACACACCAATACCTTTTATGTATTACTTATTACTTTTATAATATATTCTTTTTTTCACACCCGTTGAATTAACAATTTTCGAAAGAGACAGAAATAATATGTCCTGTTAGGATTTATTTTATCTAACGTAAGTACGAATGTTCTGTTATGGTTTCTTCTGTTATCTCATTAGACTCATATAAGCATTATTCTAAACCAACTTATGTTAGAAATTAAACGATAACATATTTGAAAAAATGTAGTATTAAAAAAAAAACAATTACAATAAATAAATAATATAACAAAATTAAATTTATAAAAAGTATGGAATTTTAGACTACGTTAATCAATTTATTTAAATTAGAATTGAATGATTTACTTGCAAAATTTTTGATTATAAAATATATATTGTACTATTATAAAAAAGAAAAAAGAGAAAAATTATTTATATTAGAGAATGTATGTGTGTGCATCTCTCTAATTTAAGAATGAAAAACGTAACATTTGAACGTTTCCTCGATTTCCTATGCAATTTTGTTGAATAAAAATATTTTGTATACTTTGGCTTCGTCAAATCGATTGGCACTTGACCAAGAACAATATTACTAATGGCTTTCATCGGGTTTGCGGTACATTTTCAATTTTCCTTTCAAATACTATTAACGGAGAGGATAGGAGAAGGGAGGGGAGAGGGGGGCGGAAATAAATAAGGTTTCTTGTTGATTAAATAGAAATTCTATGACCTCGATTATAGGATGATTTTGGAATGGGAGAGATTAGGGTTATCTGTAATATTAATCATATATTATGACGGTAAATTTATGTCGTGTGTCAACACACGTGTATGTATATGTGTATGGTGTATTTTCATTTGCGATATTTTCCGAAGATTCCGTGTTTGATTTTATCGAATAATCATTTAGTTTTTATCAACCATTACGAAAAATTTCATTTGTCCATGCGAAAATAATTTTGTTGAATTAATTTATAACATTGAATTGATTCAATTAAACAATAAAAAAATAAATATATTAATTGAATTTGATTTTATAATTGATAGAAGAAAAAAAAAAATCATTTAATATCAGAGTTTCATGAATGAATGTTAACAATTCGATTAAGTGATAAATAATATATGTATGTGTGTGTATATGAATGAATGAGAATGAGAGAGAAAAAAAAAGATCGTACACACTCTCTGCAGGGTCTCGTCGACAATATCAGCTTCCTGGCACGGTGCCCTCCTCCTACGAGAGCATACTTCCCTTCCCAAAGTATCAAATCGTTTCCTCGTATCGTACACGTGCATCAGCCGGTGCCCTTAATTCTTCGCATAAGCATATCTCCTACTATTACTAGATGCTAACAAATTAAAATAAGATATCATTTGATTTCGATCTAATCTAAATTCGTATAATCAAAAAAAAAGAAATAAAATAGAAATTAAATTACAATATACACATAGTGATCTCCGAGAGATTAAAATTTCTTTTTTTAAAATTTTTATCGCGTATGATTCTTATCCAAATTTTTATCATCAAAATTTGATTAAATTTATATAATTATTGTACTATTTATTTGCGTGTATCTAAATAGAATAATCTTTTATCATGAGAGAAATTAATATACCATAAAAATTATATAATAGAAAAATTATATTAAATATTTTTTCATCACTACGACACCTTCAATTTTGTTTATTACATTATTGATATTTCTCTTAATTATAGTATAATAAAATTAAATTAATTAAAAATATGTAATAGAGCTATGGGGAACATTTTTAATTGTTTTTTATCATGGAAATAATTTTTTTTCTATTATATTATTTCCCTGTTAAATATTGAAATTATATGATAAATAAATTAATACCATTCTTTTTTACAATCAAATGCGAAAAATTTGGAAATAACTTATTGTGAGGTATAAATATAAATATATTCTTGACCATGAAGAAAAAAAAAAGAGATAGAGGAAGACCGGTTTTGGTCAAGTAATGATGAACACATTCGTGAATCCTTCCTAACAAAAAAGTGGCAAAAAAAAAGAATATAGTATTATACCACAAAAAAAGATAATTTATCCTACAACCAAGTGTTATCAATTCTTTAACGTGTATACATATTCGTATGTTCAACTTTTGCAACAAGAATTTACGTGCAATGTTCTTCTTTCTCTTTTTTAAAATAATGTTTACCTTCATTTGAAAAAAAAAAAAGAAGCATACTTCTATCTTATCAACATTGAATAAGATAAAAGTACTTTAGGTAAAAAATGAAGCGTGCTAAACATACTAAACGTAATTTTATCTAATTCATGTACTTTTTCTAAAGATATTATGTAAAACCTAAAAGATACTTTCATATTATGTCAGTAAGTTGTATTTGTAGAAGATAAAGCACACATTTTTTATCTATTATTATAATTAATTTATTTTTAATCAGTCTTTCTTTAGCAATCGTTTAGGAAAGTCGTTTACATTGTTCGTTTTATTTTTGTGAACTGAATTTTTGTAATTTATTACAAATAAATTAAAAGAAATTATTATATGTATATTTATATATATATAAAATAAATAAAATATA